TGCAATTAGCCTTTGTAGCAAGACTTGTTTTTACTGAACATTTCCTTAAAGATAAGGAGCAAGAAATTGCTTAGCTTAGCATGAATAGACATGAGAGGCCGATACGCCTGTTAGCGTGATTATCTACAAGAAACCACTAACATTTTAACAATTACTTCATATGTTTTGGACATGCAGTGATGATCAGAGACTTGCACTAATGAAATATTAATTGTAATTATACAATTAAGCCATCCTGTTTTGGGCTTGTCAACAATATAACTACTAAGCATCTTCAGTGAAGTTGAAAAACAGTAATCTGGTGATGAAGTTCCTTTCATACGTCCAGCTGGCCATCTGACCACTCTCATCACAATTTCCACAAGAGATTCAAACTTGTTGGTTTCCTTGCATAAACCCACCTGTTAATCATATTTCAACAACATCTGACAGAGCTTGATTTCTGCTTAACGCTGGCCTGATTTCGCCAATCCAAAACCAGTATTTATGTCTGTGTGAGATATCATTGTTCTGTTCGAACAGCCAGACTGAGGCTTAAATCCAGTATAAACTGAAAGACGCTGAAGTGAACCGAATATCTAGCTTTCTGCTCAGTCTGCCACCAAGTTGTGAGGGAGCTTCGGTTGAGTTCGAGTAGGGTGGATAGGAATTGGAAATTAGCTTATGTGCTGTAATGCTTAAAGACAAGGCCTCTGGTTCGCACCAATGTGTTTGTGTTGTCCACAGTGAATAAGTAAATTCAGAATACATTTAAAACATGCTTATTATCATTTGTTTGTCTACATTTGGGTTGCATAGGATTGGACATGGAGCCCCTAACCTAAACACAGCTGAATGTCCCAACCAGAAGCCGAACCTTCTGGAAAGGTCTTGACCAAAACCCTAATGACATCTTATGAGTCAAGAAACCAACCAATAAAAAAACCCAACAACCCTATACTGTGTTGATGGCTACATAACTCTGTCGTTTCTCTTCAACTTGTTAAGGAACATTTAACCAAAGATTAGTGAGGATGTCCATCTTTAGGCTGATGTGTATGACTTTGACTCCATGTGGAGTGGGGATGGAAACATCCCCACAGTCTGACTCACCCATCACTGTTGCATCTTTTGTTAAAGGTAAAGGTGGCTGTGGCTGCAGAGCCGTCATACTTCTAATGTCTGTCTTTTC